TCTCTTTTTCTTTTTTTCCTCTTTCTCTTCTCTTCCTCTCTTTCCTCTAACTTTCTCTCTCTCTTTCCCCTCTTTCTCTTTCCTCTTTCTCTTTCCACTTTTTCTCTTTCCCTCTCTCCTCTCTTTCTCTTCTCTTTCTTTCCTCTTTCTCTCTCCCTCTCCCTCCAGGTTAGGAGAGAGAGAATGAAAGGCAGATGGCGCCGAACAGGCGGGGAGAGCAGGACGGAAGGTAGAAGCTCCTGGCCGCCCCCCATCACTTCTTCAGCCGAACAAGCAGGGAGGGGCAGGGAGGGGGAGCAGAACGGGAGGCAGCGGCTCCAGTGGCGGCGGCCCCATTGCATCCTCAGCCAAACGGGCAGGGAGGGGGAGCAGGACGGGAGGCAGCGGGTCTGGCGGCAGCCACTGCAGCATCGTCGGGGTCCCCGTCGCCGCCCATGGCCCGGCCGCCGCCCCCGCCGCATCCTCAGCCACTTCGCCATCTTAAGAGGAGGGTGCCAAGGCCGGGTGCAACATGGGCGGCCGCGCCGGCAACAGGGAGTGCCGACGAGGGGGGGTCCCGATCGCCGCCAGCCCCGCCGCCCTCGCATCCCAAGGTCTCCTTCTGCAGCAACGAGGGCAGCAGCGGCGGCTCCCTGAAAGTGCCCGAGGAAGGTGCCACCGATGGGGCCAAGGTGCGGCCGGGCGGCGGAGAGCCCTGCGGCAGCCAGGCAAGCTTCATGCCTGACTGCCATCCGGCCCGGGCTGGGGAGACATGTGGCCGGTTCGGCTTCCCGGGGAGCGATGCTCCCGCTGGCCGCCGCACCAGCCATGACTGCCGCCCAGCACGGGGAGACATGTGGCTGGCTCGGCTGCCCAGGGAGCGGCCCAAGCAGAGTCTCGCGAGGGACGCAAAACGAGATCAGCCGCTGCCTATTGGTCGAGGGAGACCCCGCCAATAAACTTTCTGATAGGGAGGGCCGTGGGAGGGCCGCATTTATATAGAGCAGGGAGGGCTGTTCGAGGGCCGGATTAAACCGGAACGCGGGCCGCAAATGGCCCGCGGGCCGGACTTTGGACATGTCTGGTCTAGTTTAATGAAAAGAAGGACTAGGGGTTACATGACAGCAGTGTTCCAATATCTAAGGGGTTGCCACAAAGAAGAGGGGGGTCAACCTATTTTCCAAAGCACCTGAAGGCTGAGCAAGAAGCAATGGATGGAAACTAATCAAGGAAAGAACCAACCTAGAATTAGGGATAAATTTCCTGACAGAACAATTAACTAATGGAATTGGCTTGCATTCAGAAGTTGTGGGTACTCCATCACTGGAGATTTTTAAGAAGAAAAGATTGGACAACCATTTGTCTGAAATGGTATAGTGTTTCCTGCTTGAGCAGGGGGCTGGACTTGAAGACCTCCAAGGTTCCCTCCAACTCTGTATTCTGTAAAGTTCCGAAGCATCTCATGCAATACATAAGGCATAAGCTTTCACTGTGATGCGGACCTCTCACATTTTCATTGCTGCAAATGCTGCTGCACCATTCAACAGAACCAAGGAGATTTAGAAATATGGTGACATCTTGAAGCAAAAGAAGACAATGACAAAGCCTTCTATCCAGGTTGTCATCATATTGCTTTAAAAAAAAAAGGGAAATTGGCACCCAGCTCCAACCCTTTTCTTTAGTTCCATGGAAGTTGCTAGGCCTACTTCCAAACCTGGACATTTGTGACTATACATTTTAGTGGGTGTGTAAGTTTACCCCTATTTCCTTTACATATTTCACGAAAACCAAGAAAGTGGATTTGAAATCTAGCTTTTCGAAAGCTAGATTTATTTTTTTTTAAGTATTTGCTTTCTCCCATTTCAGACCTTTAGGTGGCTTGCAAATATCTGGAGTTTAAAGCAATTACTTTTCTTAATAATTTACACCTGAAATTATAGCATGATGCATGACTAGTTTCACATTAAATAGAGATCTTTAATGACTCTGTGAACGATGGAGAAGGATGACCTAGATATATTTAGATGCATTCTCCTAAAAAGACATACTTTGGGAAAGGTTTCCCGGCCAATTATTAGCCAGTAACTCACTTTTCTCCTTAGGGCAGAAATTGCTAGCATTGATTCTTCCAATCTTTTCAGGATGCTTTTCTGAGCATGCTCATTGCTGAATGAATTTGTCAGCCCATCATGCAAATCTTTATTTCCTTGATCTTCTGCTTTAATAGTTGTTTCTTTAATAGTTGTGTCTTGATCATAAATCAAGGGCAAGGGATCCAGGGAAGCACACTCTCTCCAGTGACTACCAAATGCACATTCTTTGCTCGATAGATCTTGAAGCTTGAAATTCTTATACTTTCTTTGTACATGCTCAAAGTAGCGGCCACCTAGTGAGTTAATCCATTGTCCTTCATATTATACAGACTGCTGAGTGGGGGAGGGGAGCAGTACTTTGTCTCCTGACAGCAACTTGGAGAGGTGTATGCAGTTTGATAACACTTTCAGGAGTGGTATGCCAGTGCTTCTTCTTAGGACTGACAGAAAGTGGTCCAGCTGGTTTGTGCCTAAAATAGGACATCTTTTTTTAAGTGGTTTGACCTTGTCTCTTTCTTAAGCTGAGAGAGGGTGACTGGTCCAAGTTCACCCAGCTGGTTTTGTACCTATTTCAGGACTAGAACTCCCATTCTTCCTGTTTCTAGCCTGGTGCCTTAGCCATAACACCACATTCACTGTTGAAATTAATTAGATTTATTCAACATAGTTTCTTATAGCTTTCACTGGTCATCTCTGTACTATCTAAAGGGCATGTAGCTTTACAGGACACATTAGACCACACTGTTTAATTATTTATGATTTAAGACTATCCATTTCTGTTAACAATTCCGCCGTAAGGCAGACGTTATGGAAAAAGCAAGTGATGTACAATGATATAATTACTGGAACAATGCTCAGAGTGTGCTACCATATGTGCTGTAGTAGTCAGTGCCTCTGTTCCCTTTTCCAGTTTCTTGCCATCTTCCCTACTGGAAATGGGATAAGATTGATCACCTATGATATATATACCTTGAATAACCTATGAAATTGTTTTTAGTTTGAGAGCTACGGCACATGTAGATCAATCAATCTGTTTATTACAGTCGTAAGGCCAGACATAATCAAAATGTATAACAACAGTAACAATTTTACTTCCATATTTACAGGATATAAAACCACCAAACAATCAATATAGTATAATCCAAAATTCTCAAAATAAAACATCATATTTAAAAAAAAATCAGACCTTAATAATGGTGCGACGTATTGTGTAAATGGTGGCACAAAATTGGGCAACCTGAATTGATATTTTCGGATCCTTATCCAAAAGTAGCAACTTTAGATAAAATTCATATCCCCTGCCTGGACATTTCTTCAATATTGGATATATAAGAATCTGTCTAGAGTCTTTATATAAAGAGCAACGAAGCAACATATGGCTTAGAGTTTCTATAGAGCCATCACCACATGGACACAACCGAAGGTGCATAGGAATGCCCGTAAACCGTCCAAAAAGGACTGCCAAGGGCAATGCATCCAGCCTGGCTAAGGTGAAAGCTTTACGAAATTTCAAAATTGTAATGGAAAATAGATAAGAAGCTGGAAAGAATCCTTCTGGAAGCAAGTGACAAATGTTGGAATGTGCCACCTTACTTAGGTTTGTTTGGAGATCAATATCCCAGATTCGTTGTTTCAAGGCAGTTCTAACATTATCAAATCCTAATGAACACAGACTTTCCATAGAAAAGCCCACATGTAGAGTTTGGACTGCAAGATAACATATTCTTTGCATAATAGAGAATTATTGTATGTCTGCCAGATGTATTGTATCCAAGGGATAAGTGACAAAAGGAGCATTACAACTTTGTGATGCATGTTCCATCGCTTTTGTAACATATACAAATACACAAAAAGATGGAACCTGGAACAAAATGGCATAATGCTGTTTTTATCATTTTGGTGAAAGTCTCCAATCCTATGGATGCTGTAAAATATTTGATATTCTTTGAAATGATATTCTTTGAAATGAAGCTGTCTTGCAAAAAAGTTAGAGAAGCTATCAGCTACCTGATTATATGCCAAATCTTCCTATATTTTTATATTTGAATTTTTTTCAAAACTGCATATACAGTATGTGTGTCTATATACACCCATCCATAAACACACACACACAAATATATACACACAAACACACTCATGTATATATTGCTATGCTAAAGCTAAATTATATAAAAATTCAATATGAAGCAAAAGTCACATCGTATAGCAATTTAGTCCAGCAAAAATAAATTATGACTAACAGTACAATTTGTTATTCAAGCAAATAATATTCAATACTTCACTTCAGATTTAAAATATTACTAAGTAATATAATCAAAAATTAACAGTCCTGCAAATCCTGATGATTACAAGAAATCATTACATAATTATAAGCAACAAAAACAATAGCAGCAAAGATGGGTTGCTAAAATATTGCAGACCATGCACACTAATATTCAACAGCAACAATGTCATGTATCCTACAGCATTAATCATAGGAAATCAAAACAATGAGAAAATAAATTTTTGAGTTGTAGCTAAAATAAAACAAGCTCTTTTTTTTTAAAAAAAGAGTAAGTTTTCAATTAGCAATAATCACACCTCAGATAAATCTCATTGGCTATGATACTGCCACTGCACTAAGCTTTAGCGGTTTTGAGCAGCGTGATGATCTAGTAGTGAAGATGCTCGCCACCCAATCAGAAGATGAGAGTTCAATTTGAGGTGGTGGCAGATGTTTATCTCCTAGGGCTCAAAGAAAAAATGAGAACTCTGTATGGCATCAGGAAGGGCATCCGTCCGATAAATGCTCAGCTCCATCCGGTCACTCCTACTAGCCTGAATTAAGGAATTACAGGGTTATAAAAAAAGAGTTTTAAATGAGGTGTTTTGTTGATTTTAAATGAGTATAACTTGGATTTTGTACCATTTTCACAAAGATGCTTCACCCCCACCTCACTGGCAATTTTATTTGGCTCCGGACGCTTCAGAGCTTTTCTAGATCTTATTTGGGCAGCTAAGAACAGGTCATCTTGCCTTGGATCTCTGTTCACCACATCTGCCATGTCATTCCACCATGTGTTACTGCAACTGCTGGGCACTTCCTTCTGTTATCCCACACTTGTAGGCACTGGGACCACTTTTGAATTGAATTGAAGCATTCATCTCAGCAGGTGGCTACTGAAGAATGAAGAAGAAGGAGAGGGAAGCAGCCAACTTCATATGGCAAATAATTCTAATCAGTTGGGAGACATGAAGAACAACAACAGCTCCAGACACAATAGAACCTGCCCTTCTTGTCTAAAAGGAAACACATCACTTATCCAGAATGTCTCCAAGTAACAAATTTCTTTCTAGATAGAGGACCGTTTTCCCCCATCCATTGAAAACTGGCTGGCTGAACTCTCTTTGATAACATCTAAGACCAAACTCAACATTAAGAAAACCAAGATCATGGCATCTGGCCCTCTCAATTCCTGGCAAATAGATGGGGAAGAAATGGAGGTAGTGACAGATTTTATCTTCTTGGGCTCCAAGGTCACCACAGATGGGGACTGCAGCCAAGAAATTAAAAGACGCTTGCTCCTGGGGAGGAAAGCTATGGCAAATCTAGACAGCATACTAAAAGCAGAGACATCACGCTGCCGACAAAAGTACGTATAGTCAAGGCCATGGTTTTCCCAGTTGCAAAGTATGGATGTGAAAGTTGGATCATAAGAAAGGCTGAGCACAAAAGAATTGAGGCCTTTGAACTATGGTGCTGGAGAAGAGTCCTGCGAATCCCCTGGACTGCAAGGCGATCAAACCAGTCAGTCCTAGAGGAGATCAACCCTGACTGCTCTTTAGAAGGCCAGATCCCGAAGTTAAAACTCAAATACTTTGGCCACCTAATGAGAAGGAAGGATTCACTGGAGAAGGGCCTAATGCTGGGAAAGATTGAGGGCAATAGAAGAAGGGGACGACAGAGAATGAGCTGGCTGGATGGAGTCACTGAAGCAGTAGGTGTGAGCTTAAATGGACTCCAAAAGATAGTAGAGGACAGGAAGGCCTGGAGGAACATTGTCCATGGGGTCGCAATGTGTCAGACACGACTTCGCAACTAACAACAACAACAACTAAGACCAAATATTCAATTCAGAGAGCACGGAGTCTTTAAACCTTTGATTAATCATTTAATTTGACAAGATTTTGTTGACTAATTTTGATTTATTTAAGTGTTAGCTTGCAGAAAATACACACATATAGGACAATGCAGTTAGATTTACAGTCTAAATGACACCATACAACATAAAAGGGAAAAACAAAATGGAGAAAAGGCAGGCTTAAGAATCAGCTTTTCAGGTTTTGAATGACAATTTTAATACAATATACAATATATTTCAAGAAGAATAAGAAACAAACATCACACATACTTGATCTGGCTGTGTATCCATTTATAATTAGATGGCATAGTAAAAAAAAAGTACATAAGTAAAGAGGGAAACAAGATTAGGAATGGATGTGTATATTTGTGTATATATGTGTATATAAGGAGAAAGTTCCTAACACTGAGGACAATTAACCAGTGGAACACCCTGCCTTCAGAAATTGTGGAGGCTTTTAAGAAGAGACTGGACAGTCACTTGTTAGAGATGGTACAGGTTCTCCTGCTTGAGCAGGGGGCTGGACTCCAAGGTCCCTTCCAGCTCTATTCTATTCTATTCTATTCTATTCTATTCTATTCTATTCTATTCTATTCTATTCTATTCTATTCTATTCTATTCTATTCTATTTGTTTAGGCTTCTTTTGTTCTTATTCTCCTGGTATTAAACTCATTTTGTCTGTTTTGTAATATTTTTTAAAGAATCTGCATGGACACCTCCCTTCGACCAGTCCGCTCCCACAGAGAGGGCCTNTCCTTAGAGTGCCGTCGGCCAGACAATGCCGGCTGGCGACCCCCAGGGGGAGAGCCTTCTCTGTGGCAGCTCCTGCCCTCTGGAATGACCTACCCCCCGACCTACGTACAGTTGCGGACCTGCGCCTTTTTCGCCGAGCCCTGAAGGCCCATCTATTCCGTGCGGCCGGCCTGGCGTAGTTTGATTATGTTTCAGTGGGCGGTTGTTTTTTTTACAGGTGTGTTTTTAGAACAGGCCTGTTATTTAATTCGATTTTAAAACAAACTATTTATTTATTATCATGGTTTTTAGTATCGCCTGTTCACCGCCCTGAGTCCTGCAAGGGAGATAGGGCGGTATATAAATTTAATAAATAAATAAATAAATAAATAAACATCTGTATAGATTTCTTTTTGCTTTTCCTCCGGTGGCCATAATTTTGTGTGTGTGTGTGTGTGTGTGTGTGTGTGTGTGCATGCGCGCACGCATGTGCACAAGCATGTAATTTTCCCATTTTAATGTTGCTTCTGTTAATGTACATATTTTGGTGTGTATTTTCCATTGCAAAATTCAGAAGAGATGGAGACTGTGATATTGTTTGAGCATTAATTTGAGAAGAATGAATTAGAGCTTTGCATTAAAATGGAAACTGAACAAATTCTTTCTCCAGTCCCTTGAGGGTACATGATATGCCGTTATACCTATCTTCTCTTTCATTTGTTTTAAGTATCATGAGAAGCTACCAATTTAAATGAAAGAATAAGTGAAAGACGGGAGGGAACACTTAATTTTCCTGCCTCTGGCTATTTTTCTGTACTAAAACGCCACATAACCCTGGCTGAGTTTCCATCCACAAGGAGAAAAATATGGGTAATTTCTTTCTAAAGGTCATCTCTCTTAGCTTCACTAGGCTGGCTTTGATTTTTATATATATATAAATTTAATTAGCCACATGCAGTTTGTTTCTCTGTTCTACTTTGTTTTCATCTTGGCTCAAATTCATTGACCTCCTTTTGCGGTTTAACCATCTTGAGTATTCACTGGGGTAAAAAGCTGGGCTATAAATCAAATAAATAAATAACAGCCAAGGAAGAACCTGACTGATATCAAGGATTTACTTCAAGGTAGTCGTGTGACTCCAAATATAGGAGAAAGTGTCGAGATCTCTAAAGATGTCTTTAAAAAGGGATCTTTAGATGTCTATCTAAAAATAGCTTGGTTCCTGGGGTCGTGGGTGCCCCATCACTGGAGGTATTCAAAAATAGATTGGACAACCATTTGAATGGGATGGTATAAGGCAGTGGTGGCGAACCTATGGCACAGGTGCCAGAGGCGGCACTCAGAGCCCTCTCTGTGGCACGCGCGCCATCGCCCCAGTCCTAGGCCTTCAGCTGGGTTTTATAGAACCTTTTCGCTTTAGGCCTCTGCCACTGTATGCAAAAAAAAAAAAAAAAAGGTTCAATCAGTCAGTCAATTTCAACTTCTCACAGGAAAAAAAAAGATCTCGCAGAGTTGGAATTGATTGATTGAACTTTTTAGTCCCACCCAGCCTGCCGTTACCACCGCAGCCACACCCAGCCAATGGGCCACACCCACCCGGCCCCCGACGATGCATAAGTGGGTTTTGGGTTGCAGTTTGGGCACTCGGTCTCTAAAAGGTTCGCCACCACTGGTATAAGGCTCCTGTCTTAAGCAGGGGTTTGGAAGACCTTCCAGGTCCCTTCTAGCCCTATGTTTCTATGATTCTATGCCTGGGTCTGAACAATAATTCAGAGCTCCTCCCAAACCCTCCTTTGCAATACCTTAAGGTAGCGTTTCTCTGTCTTAGCAACTTTAAGATATGGTGGACTTCACCTCCCAGAATTCCCCAACCAGCCACGCTGGCTGGGGAATTCTGGGAGTTGAAGTCCACACATCTTAAAGTTGCCAAGGCTGAGAAACAGTGACGTCTAACTTTAATTAACTAAAAGAAAACAGATAGCAAATCTTATCTCAGTACTTTAAAGACCAATAACTATCTGGCTGATCTCTTGAACTCCCTTCCCTGAATTGTATTGCTCCGACAGCGTGAGATGAACAAAATGTCCTAAGAGTAGCTTCATGGGGCAGAATACTGTTGTTTCTCTAATGTTTTGCAACTGGTATTTATAAGTTCTTTGTTATTCAGTGGGAGCACAGAAAAGGATGGAATTCTCTTTGGTTGGGGGAAGTCTTGCTTACTATCACTCATACCTTAGTCATATCCCAATCGGATTATTGCAATCTGATTGAAACCGGGATCCCCTTAAAGGACACCCAGAATTCGTAAGAGGTCCTAAACTCAGCAGTGCATACATTTTGGGGAACCCTACAGTTTGCCCATATTACACTACTATTACATGAACTGCATTGGCTTCCAAGTTCTTTGTAGATGCAATTCAAGGGACTGGCTATCACCTTTAAAGTCCTGGATAGCAGAGGGCCAAGTTATTTAATGAGTAGAGGTAGCCCTCAACTTACAATCATTCATTTAAATATTATTCAAAGTTAGAGAGTGCTGAAAAAAGGGCACTAGTCCTCACACTTATGATTCTTGCAGCGCCCCCTCCATAGACATGTGATCAAAATTCAGGCGTTTGGCAACTGGCAAGTATTTACCATGGTTGCAGCATCCTGGGATCATGTGATCACCATTTTGCAATCTTCCTAAAGGGCTTAGGTAAGCCAGATTCACTCAACGACTGCATAATTTACTTAATGACCGTGGCAAAAAAAATGGAAGTTTATTTATT